ACCAGACGAACCATGTCATTATAGAATCATAGAATGGAAAAGTTGAATGTATCACCTAGTTCAACCCAATGCCCAGAGCAGGAATCTATTAAGTACAGCATCTCCAACCCAGGGTGTGTAAACCAGATCATGCCCTATTTTGTTGTGTAAGCTCAGTTAATGACTTCAAACAGTAATGGTGTATGAAGGTCAGTGGTGGGATTCAAATTTTACTACCGGTTCTGTGGGTGTGGCTTTGTGGGTGTGGCTTTGTGGGCATGTCAGGAGAAGGATACTATAAAATCCCCATTTCCTCCAGATCAGCTGGGACTCGGGAGGCAGAGAATAGTTGGGGGTGGGGCCAGTCATAGGTGGTATTTATCAGTTCTCCAAAGTTCTCAAAATTTTTGTTACCGGTTCTCCAGAACTGATCAGAACCTGCTGAATACCACGTCTGATGTAGGTCTTCTGACAAAGTTCTGTCATCCTTTGGTGAAGCAAATCCAGATGCCAGGTTGTAGTTGCTGAAATTACAATTAGCCAAATCTTGTGTTTCTGAACACAGAAGTAGCAGTGATTTGAGCAAGCACTTAGCTGGTAATTCTGGACCAATTATTACGCTCTGTAGCTGAATATGTCTGTGTTAATTACTGCGGAGAGATGTTTTCATTTTGAAATATAAATGGAGCTGTTCTGATAAGAGAACTGAATATTTTTTTAGGCCTGAGGAGTCTGTTTTCTTTCATTTAACCAAGTGCAAGTACCCTTTTAACTGGATTTCTTCACTGGCTTTGGAAATGTTTTATGGAACTTTGTGAATGTTTTGTGCTGGAAGCAGTGTGACTTCTGGACGGCAGCCCCTCTGCCTACATGGTGGCTCTGTGTGAAAGGATTGTAAACAGGCACGGAATAGGCTGTTGTCCTCTCGCTCATGATATTTTTACTCTATCTTAGTGGCTGCAGAACATCAAGGCAAGAAACAGTGGCGCCATTCTGGTGCCCAGTAAGAATTAATGCCAGAGGAAACTGTTAAAACTTCCAAAGCATTTCACTTTCAAGACAGCATTTAAGTGCCAGTAATCTTGGCCTCCATTCAGCCCCCATCAGTTTCCCTCCCAAGCATGCACCATCAGCAGCTCCAGCTGCGTGCGGCTGGTTATTGTATGGGGAAACCTTAAGCTGACTCTGTTGAAAAATGGACTTTTGGCTCCTTTGGCTACCCTGCCTTCCTAGTAATGTACTGCTTGTCAAATATTCAAAGCTCGTTGTTGTTTCTGCTTTCCAGAGCTCACAATAAACTGGCAGGGCAGGGCACAATTATTATAATATTTCAGTAAGGTGAGGCAAACACACCACAGAATTGTAATGGTATGACTTGTGGCTGGTTGATTTGAACAGCCTCCCCCACTCCCCACTGTTATTTGGTTGGTTTTCTGCCTCACTTATCCCCCTTATCAATAGCTGCTGTAACTGCTCACAAACCCATTAGTAATCTGCCTTTCTTTCACCATGGGACTTGCGTGCAACATTCCTGTGTAGACTCCCGTTTGGTCACTGCCAAGCTTAGCCTGGGGAACTGCGCCCTGGCCTGAGAGCAGTGGTGGGATTCAACCGGTGTAGCAACCAGTTTGCTGAACGCTTGTGCAGTTCGTTTCAAAACAGCTCTACAACTTACCTTTTACTGCAGCCCCGGTGAGTAAAACAGCTGAGGCATAGCAATCCACTGTGCCGCGCCTATCAGCTGGGCTTCAAACAAAGGAAATATAGGACAGTCTAGCACAGGGGTGGGTGGGCGTGGTCAACTGATTGCTGGAACTACCAGTTCACGCGAACAGGTCCGAACCGGCTGAATCCCATCTCTGCCTGAGAGTTTATGTTGCTTTGGGACACTAAGCTTATCGCCTAAATTGGTTTATTCCCTTCAAGTCTCTTTTTATTGTCATGTAGTGTGTTATGTGTGCAAGGACAATTTTTCCTTGTGGTATTTAGAAAATGGTAGACCGTTGAATTAATTGGACTATCATTTAAGGGATGAGCAAGTGACCCCCTGGATGTTACACAGTTGCATTGTTCCTACATCACTCTGGCCTGGCGGATGAGCCTCGAAGGCAGGGAGCAGATGCCTTTAGAGTATGTGTGAAGGTGTAAACACATAGGTAGCTATTCTAAACAATGAGTGCATCTAGCCCAGCATTGTTTATTCTACTGCATCCAATTTTGGTCACCACACTATTAAAAAGATGTTGAGACTCTAGAAAAAGTGCAAAG